GCTTGCCGAGCAGTCGCCTCAGTGGGCCCGGCCCGCGCTTAGCCCCTCCGCCACCACGGCCAACGACCCCGGCGCAGCCGCCATCTTTGTTTTCGCTGCGCTCCCCCCCCAGCACCACCGCCCCCTCGTCGTCCCCATCACGTGGGCTCCACGCAGGGCCAATGGGAGTACCTCCTGGGACAAAACCGGGTTGCAGCCAGAGCCTATGAACACGCGAGGGCTCCTGAGAACCCGCCTGCAAAAGGTGGGAGGGGGCGGAGCTAAGGTGAATGGAGGGGGGCGGAGCCCAGGCGGCTAGTTGAGGGGTGGGCTTCTGGGTGCTGAAGCTCTCGATCTTCTCGGGTAGTATCCGCGTCTTGCGAGTCAACAGGCGGACAGAGCACCCTCACACCCTTAAATCGGGTGTGCCTCCACAGTTGTCCGCCGAGACTCGCACTTTTGTGCGCGTGGCTCTGGCCTAGCTTGCCTGAGTGGAAGGACACGAACTTGAAAGACTCCGCCCACCACCCTTCTCAGTATTGTGCAGGACCGGATGTGCTTACATAGGACGCGAGCGGAGTCTGTGGTGCGAAGGATGCATTCCAGACCCCTAATCTACTGTTCTCCCCAATCCCTCTTTTCTGTTCTTGGAGTTGGAGGCTGAACAGGGGTTCACGCTGAAAAGTGGAAGTCTTAGGGAATAGGACTTGGCTGCTGCAGACGGGAGGGCAAGCAGGTAGTGACTGAATCAGCCCAAGGAAGGAATGTGTTTCTAGGAACGGTTATGCACAGACCTCTCGTGCCCTTACCAACACGAACATCAGCACCTGAGGGTCACTGACTGGAAGGGCCACTTGCCAGGCTGGGCAAGGATATCCAAAGATCCACCATGTCCCAGAAGAGCAAGGACCTAGAACCTTGTCTTCTCAGCATAGGGATCCTCCTCACAAAGGTGCCAGGTGGAATGAGGCCCATGCCAATTCTAGCACATCACTAGAACTGGCTCCCTGAAGGTCCCTCAATCCTTCTCAAGAACAGGCAGATTTCATATTCCTGCAGAATTTCTAAGGTTTATTAGAGATCTGGACCCATGACCATGACCTACCCAGAAACAGGTCCTAAATGTACCTGTGATCCTGTCCCTTTCATTTTGGTCTATACAAGTCTCTACATATGACCAGAAAAGGGACAGCTCCCAGGCTCTTCTGCTGACCAGCAAACCTGCAGCAGGCCCACTTCAGAAAAAAACAGAAAACCTGTTTCTAGGTGGGGAATACCCAAGAGCAAGAAGGTGGGAAAGAAAGGTATAACCAGGGTAGAGCCTGCCTCCTTGTGTCCATTGTCAATCCCACTGCAGGCGCTGTGTGTGCAGGGCACAGCAGTATGCCCAATTGCCTGCAGCCAGGGCCCAGCGATAGACATCCTCCTTGGGCAACAACAGCAGCCTGTCCTCCTCCAGCCGGCTCAGGAGGCCTGCAGCACCCAGCATTGCACCCCCCCACATCCCATAAGTGTTGCCTGTGAAAACGGCCACAATGACGATGGTCACTGCAACCACTAACAACACTGCCTGACCAGCCACAGAGCAGCCTTCGGGGCCAAGATGATCACCAGCCACTGCCAACACCATGCCTCCTCCCAGAAGCAGGTTGGCAGAGGATCGGTCTCCATTCACCCAGTGAAAATCGAAGGCCAGAAGGGGCAGGCCAATGACTGTGGCCACCCAAGCTCCAGCGAGACAGTCTTCATGTGTGCCCAGCCCTGGGGCCAGTGTAGTGGCAGCAGCCAAGGCTTGGAGTAGGAAGCCAGCAGCAGCTCCTCGACTTGACTGTCAACACAGGGAAGGGAAGACATATGGGAAAAAGAGGCCAGGGCCTCATCTTTAGAAATGAAAGGTTTTGATGCTCTCATGGAGACCTAGCCCTAGACTCACCTACTGTCATCTGCCTAGTGCAGGAACTAGGTCTTTAGGCTGTGGAAGTGGGGACACTCACCTGCATAGAGCTCACCGCTGCATGCAGAGACACCACTCCAAGAGCAAGATGGGACAGGACCGTGCTCCACTCACCCCCAGGCTTGGGGACCATGGCACCTCGGGCGGTAGTGACTTTGCAGAGACAGGAAGGGGAGCTTCAACTTTGGAGAGAAAGAAAAGCCATGACCTGGAGCCCTAAGACCAGCTTTCCAAGAATACTACCAGGTTACGGGGTCCCATGACTGGACATTCAGATAGCTTCAGTCCTAAGCTTTCCGGAGTCCTGAAGCCACTGGACACACCTGTAAAGAGGAAGAACTAATTTGGCTGGAAAAAACAGGGAAACGAGGTTTGGGGCATCAGGCGCAGGAGGTGGAGCACAGGCCCTCTCGGAGGCCTTTGGGTCTCAGCAATAAGGAGGCACCGTCCTCGACGCCCGGTCCAGAGAAGCGAAGGTGCAGACCTGCCGGCGACCACAACACCAATACCCGAGCTGCCCACAGCCGTCGTCGGCACAGATTCCTTGGCCAGCTCCTGCAGCCCAGACCAGAGCCGCCTGGCGCTGCCACCAGCGAGAGGAGCGGAGGCTAGAGCGGCCGGGGCGGGGCCTTGTCGAGGTTAGTGGGAGGCTATAGCCGGGAGTAGGGTTTGATGGGAACCAGTCATGGCCAGAAGGTTTTCTGTACCGGCGTGGGGGTGGACCTTAGGACCGGGATGGACTTGGGGTGGAGGGAGTTCGGGCGGGGCTTCAAGAGGGGCGGGGCTTCGAGGAAGGGCGGATCTTCCAGATTTGTGGGCGGGGCTTAAATTAAGAGGGGCGGGGCTTCTTCCGAAGGCCGAGCTGCGAGGGAAGGAGTCGATGTGCACCTGTGCACCTTTCGGCTCCGTAACCTGGAGTAGTGGTGGGGTTTCCGCGAAGGTCGAGGACTCCGGAGGAGGTGCGGTAGTCGTGAGTGCTCTCAGCCCCGGGTGTCTACGAAGTAGGGACAGGGGGTCGAGAGAAGGGCAGGCCCTGGGGCGGCTGCAGGGGATACTTCTTTCGGAGACCCCAGTCCTGAGTTCGCCCTTTGGCGCACGCCCTCGGCTCGCTGGAGCCGGGCCGTGGGGGCGGCCGCCGCGAGCATGCGCGCCGGCACTGCGGCTGGCGGGTGTGGAGTCCGGGCGCGGGGACGCGGGGCGGCACGAAGCGGGGCCCTCTGCCGCCCCGCGCGCCCATGTACGCCTTCTATTCCCTGCTCATCTACATCTTCTACAGCCTCTTTCGCAGGGATGGCGGTGCAGCGGCGACCGCCGACCCCGGAGACCCAGCTCAGGTGAATAGGGTGGGGCCTGCGTCGCCGGTCGACCCCCGCCCCCACCCGAAATCGGGTGGTGGCAATCTTGTTTCCTCCGGGCGCTGGGGAGGGAGCCGGGCTGCGCCGACGACTCACGTCTTGGTCTGGGTATCGGAAGCGTAGATCTTGGCCCCAACCTTCCTGGCTCATTTCCCGAAAAGGAGCCCCACAGGCTGCCTGCCACCTCCTCAGGGGCAGCCCTTGCTCCCTTTCTAGAGAGCCGGTTGCAAACCCAGGGGTCGCCGTCACCCCGACCAGCTCACACCAGAAGTGTGGACCAAGCTGACTGGTCTGGCCGGTAGGTGAGACCGGGGCGCTTTAGGGGGCCTTGAGGGAGCCTGGTCTTGAAGCGGGTCTGCAACCTCTTTGGGAAGGTGAAGAGGCTCAGCCTATAACGTGACACAGAATGCCTCCCTGTCCGGTTACCTGGCTACAGGCAGGTCGGCATCTGAGGATGGGCGGGAAGAGAGAGCTGAGGGCCGCCCAGCTGAGGTGTCCCTAGAAGAAGCTCTCACGCGCCTGGCTGAGTTCCTCTCCATCCAGCTAGGAGCAGAAGAGAGCTGTGGGAACCCTCCTCACCTGAACAAGGTGAGCCTGGGGAAAGGCTGTATCCAGCAAGCACTTCTCTCTCTCCCTAGCCCTAGTGGTGGTGCCCTGTCCTGCTCCCCGGTTTCCTCTGCACTGATTGTTGTCTCCTGCCAGGAATTTAGCTCAATGGCACCACGCCTGCCTCACAAGCGCAAGGTCCTGAGTTCAATCCCCATTACCCCCCCAAATCAAATTGTTATCTTCTACACAGCCTGCTGATGTCCCCCCATTGCTGACAGTGACAAGTCAGCTCTTGGCTCTTCTGGCATGGATTCGGAGTCCTCAGGGCAGACAGGTCCTGCTTCAAGGGACTCAGCCAGCCTCAAACCTGCAGCCTTGCACTACAGATGGTTTGTAAGGGGTACCTTCTATGGGAAAAGTGAAGCCTATCAGATCTTGGGTGGTCTGAGCCCTGGGTCCCAATCCCAGCTCTGCTTCTAAGGAAGATTGAGGCCAGACACCTCTTCAGTTCTAACTGGGCCCACTCCTCTCCAGGATCCTCCTTGCAGGAAGAAAGCTCTTCCCCTGGGCTAGGAGAAGTACTAAGTGTTGAGGCCCAGGGTCCACCGACTTCCCAGTTGGAGGAAGAACAGAGAGCTTGGCATCGATTGGAGCAGCTCATTCTTGGACAGGTGAGGGACCCAGGATGGGCAGATATTAGGGGGGTATGAGTGCTAAAAAAGGAGTTCTGTTCTGTCCTGTCCCTAACTCCTCTGCAGCTGGAAGAGCTGAAGCATCAGCTAGAGCAGCAGGAGGAAGAGCTGGGCAGACTGCGCCTAGAAGTGGTGAGACTTGGGTAGGGGGCAAAAGGAGCTGGATCCCAAGAAGCCTGCCAGTGGGGACCTGGTAGGAGGACCACTGTACTTTCAGGTGGGTCCTGAGATCGCTTCTCTTTGTAGGGGGCAACAGACTCAGAGAAAAGGGTTCAGCATCTTACACTGGAGAATGAGGCCCTGAAACAGAGTTTAAGTCTCACTAGGGATCTTCTGCTGCACTGGGGTTCCAGCTCCTCCACCAGTACCCCACAGGTATCCTGCTCTTTGGCTATGCCTTTCCTGCAGCAAGGACTCCTCCATATTGAACATCCAGCCACAGTGTCCAAGCCTCCTCAGGACTTCATGCTTGCTGAAGCAGGGGGCCATCTCTGACTATGGACTGACCCTGGGATGGTCTGTGTAGGGAAGATTCATTAGGGAGGCTGATACCCACAGGAGAACCCCCTTCATGGTCCCTCTGAGTACCTGACCTCAGGAGAGCAGAGGGACTGTGAAAGGAGTCCTGTATGGAGTTTGGAAGCACAGGTTCAGTGGTGCCTGCCACTCTTGACTTGGCTTTCCCATCTGTGAAATGTGACCACAGAATGTCCTTCCCTAAGTTCCCACCTAGCTCCATAACCCATCTGGCTTCCACCCTTCTGCAGGAGGAAGTGGAGGTATTGTTGGAGCTCCAGGGCCGGCTTCAGGAGGCCCAGGATGCCACAGAAGCCCTCCGAGTTCAGGTGGGTTTGGGACCTGGGATGAGAAAAGCTGGGATGCTGGGAAGGGATGGATATTTGAGACAGGGCCTGGTGAGTGCCTGTTTCCTCAGTGACAAGGGTGGGATTGGGGGTGGGGCAGCTGGGGGTGCAGGAGGTGCAGCTGCAGGGCCTTCGAGGGGCCCTCCAGCAGCTCCAGGAGGAGACAGAGCAGAACTGCAGACGGGAACTGCAGCAAGTGCATGGGCAGCTGGCAGGTAAGGGTTGGGGCAGGGGGCTCATGGAAGGGCCTCGGGTATAGGCTTTCCCTCCCAATGGCCTTCCCTTTCCAGGACTACGGGCACGAATGGCCAGCCTGCGCCAGGGCTGCAGGGACCTCCGAGGATTGGTCAGCACCTTTACCCAGAGCTGTCAGGGTTCGCTGAGTGAAGCCAGGGGCCAGGTCAGGACCCCTTGCCTCCTAGCACCTCATCTTTGAGGAGCCTATTCACTGTCCTAAGGTTATTCTTTCCCAGCTTTATGGAGCTGCCTATACTAGTGTGTCAATTGTAGGATCTGGAACCAGAACACTTTCTGCATGACTGTATGATCTCATTTTTGTTCTATTCAAGCTGATAGTTCCTTAGAAGCCCAAAGAGACAGATGATAGAGTACCCTTGCCTATTCTTGTGTTCTATCCCAAGCATACTGAATGATGTCCCCAAAGGCCTAAGGCCAATGAAAGATGCAGACTACCATAACTGGTGGGTGCACAGTGGCTCTATTTTGCTCTCAGTATACCATCCCACCTGGAGCTGGTTGGACATGACTTTGCCTTTCTCACATTCTTGTTCCTTCAGGTATCTTGGGCCCTTGGGGCACTATCGGCTGAAGGGGCCGGGACTCAGCCCCCTGATGAGCATCAAGCATCCCCAACTGGATGCCAAGGAAGGCTGCTGGAGCTCAAGGGTATGGCAAACTTGGGAGGTGGTGCAGTGAGTCAGGCTGGAGGAAATGGAGCCTTTCTGTGCTTTAGGACCAAGGGAGTAAGCTCTATCCCTTATCTCCACTGCAGGAAATATCCGTGTGCTGTGTCGGTTGAGACCAGGGACACCGTCCAGCCTAGTGAGTGTGGAGCCTGGGCCAGGGGGCACTGTCACCACCTGTTATCGAGGTCGCCAGCGTCGCTTCTGCCTAGACTGGGTCTTTCCTCCAGATGCCAGCCAGGAAGAGGTGAAAACCACCTTTGCACATCTTGACCCTTGCTCAGAGTTCCCTGGAATCTAAAAAGGCTCATTTCCCCCTTACCTCTCTGCAGAAGGAAGGGTGGCTAAGCTTTAGAAGAGAAGGGAAGGGAGCTCCCAAAGGGTCTTGGAATCATGGTCACCCAATTGGGTGGGGTGATAAGGAGCCCTTCTGGACAGAGCTCTTCAACTTAATATGTCTGGGTCAGAGGCATCTGTTACCAATATTCTGTGTTCCCCATTTCTGCACCTCCACCCCGACTGCCTCCTCCATCTAGTCATAGACTTGGTCTCACCCTGGCAATTCTAGGTTCTGGCCTCATGGCCATCAGCCAAGACTTCAGACAGAGGTGACAGCTGCCCAGTTACCAGCAATCTTCTGGCAGGAGCTGGTTCAAAAGGCTGCTGTGTCCAGTTGCCAACAAGATAAATATTCCTGTTCCATCTACAGCTCAGTCAGTTTGCTGCACCTCTCAGTGTGGGGCTGGAGCAGTCTTGGCTGGTCACTATCCCCCATACCCCTTAGCCTGCCTTGGGCTCATCTTCTACATGTCAAGTGCTGCTGTGGACCTCTAGGACACATTCTCTATTAACTCTTGTGAGATGTTGAAGAGGGAAATGACATAAAAGAGAGGCACAAGAAGGATGTGTAACTTGCTTCAATCACAGCCTGGCTTTAGCCTGCATGGTCAAGCCCAGCATCTGGGCCCTTCCCTGCTGCCCAGGACTTCTGAGTACACCTCAGGACTCCACATTCTCAGCAGCTTGTTTCCTTTTTATTTTCAGGAAGGAGAGGGTGTTACTGGGTCACCCCATGATCACTTTGCAGGGGAATTACACCCTGCTCTTACCATTTTCACTGAACTTCCCACCCTTCTAGATCACGACTAGGGACCTAGGAGCAGGTCTCAGAGCACCTCTCCCCATTCCCCTTCCTCTAGGTCTTCAGGGAACTAGAGCCAACCGTACTGTCCTGCCTCCGAGGCTACAGTGTCTGCATCTTCACCTATGGTCAGACCGGGACTGGGAAGACCTACAGCATGGAGGTGGGGTGGGGGCCACATTTGGGGGTGAAGGCTCTAGGGGTGGATGTGAACCCAAAGTAGCACCCCACACTGTCCTCAGGGCCCACCTGAGGACCCTGGCATAGCTCCTAGAGCACTGCAGTCCCTGTTCCGGGAGATGGGGGCTGGAGGGCAGCACCGAGTGACCCTCAGCATGGTGGAGATCTACAATGAAGCAGTCAGGTTAGGCCTCTTCCCTTTACCTTGCCCCTGGCCCAGGATCTCTTCAGCTACTCCTAGGGCCCTGAAACCACGCCCTTTTCTTTTCTCCCCAGGGACCTTTTGGCCCCAGGCCCCCCGCAACGCTTGGCAGTGAGGCAGGGCCCAGCTGGCCAGGGCGGCATCCAGGTGGCTGGCCTCACCCACTGGGATGTGCCCAACCTAGAGACCCTACATCAGGTAGGGCTGTCCTCCAAGTCCCCTCTGGACCCGCACCCATGGCAGCTGAACTCAGTGGCTCCACCCTCTGGATGTTGGGGTGGGGGATTTAGCTCAGTGGCACCCTGCCTGCCTTGGCAAATGCAAGGTCCTGAGTTCAATCCTTAGTACTGAGAGAAAAAAAACAGAACAACAAAATACCCTCCAGATGCTGAGCATGGGGAGGAGCAACAGGGCCACTGCAGCCACCGCCATGAATACACGCAGTTCGCGCTCTCATGCCCTGGTCACTCTGACGCTGCAGGCTGCATACCCCCCACGAGGCCCTAGCCCCACAGGCACACTGCACCTGGTGGACCTGGCAGGATCTGAGCGTGTGTGGAAGGCAGGGGTGGCCAGTGCACCACGGGGGGACCCAAACAGCGTGCAGCGTCTTCGGGAGGCACAGACCATCAACCGCTCATTGCTGGCACTGGGAGGCGTGATGGCTGCACTACGCTCTCACCGGCCACACGTGCCCTTCCGAGACTCGCAGCTCACCCGCCTGCTACAGCCAGCGCTTGGGCCAGGAGCCACTGCGGTGCTCCTGCTACAGGTGAGTGCCAATGGAACGGGCATGCGGGGCTGAGATGTGTGCATGGGGTCTGCCCATCAGTGCTACTTCCTGCAGATTTCCACACGGCTGGAGGACCTTGGGGAGACTGTCTGCTCACTCAAGTTCGCAGAGAGAGTGGGTCAGGTGGAGCTGGGGCCCGCCCGGCGCCAGAAGACCCCTAGATCTGGGACGCCCTCTTCTCTCAGCACTGATACCCCACTCACTGAGACTCCTTGCACCCCCATGCCCTCTCCAGGCAGCCAAAGTCCCAGCCCCCATGGGGATTCTGGCTTGGCCCTTGCGCCACCAGGGGACCTGCCCCCCTAGTTTTGGGTTGCAGTGCTGTGGAAGGGGTCTGGGGATGCCCCTCTGCTGGCAGAGGCAGTTTAAAAGCCCTTATACTGCACCTCCCAGGACATCCTGCCTGACCTCTGTAGGAAAACTGCTCCCCAATCTCCTCTCCCCTACCCCAGCCAGAAAAGAGTGTTATGCCTGGAGAAATGGTTGTGCCCCACCCCATTGGGTCAGAGGCCCTCAGCTCCCTCCTTATCACCATTTGCTCTTATCACAGCACACAGCGGGAGATCCCAGAGCTACAGGAGCCAGACCCCAGCCAAATGACTTCCCAAGTCACCACCCCTGCTCCCAAAAATCAGACGGCATTAAAATGCTATAAATTCTTTTACTGTTATCTCCCCTCCACACTCTCACACACCATCATCCCAAGACTATGTAGGGTCTAGTTTTTATTCCCTTACCCTTTTCCCAAAAGGTGCTACCTCCTTCCCAGACAGTTGAGGGAGAGCAGGACTTCAAGCTGGACCTACCATTAGTCTCTCCCTCCCCCAGCCTGGAGCCAGCGAGGGGAGGGGACAGATGGTGATGGATGGATAGATGAATGGTGGTGGGCCTGAAGGTGAGACCAAGAAGGGCTATTCCAGGCTGAACCCTGCTCCTCCAAGCTTTACTCCTAGGTGTAGAGGAAGCAGGGGCATGACTGACCTGGGCCAGGGTCCTGCCCAGTTGGGCTGCAACCCTTTCTGGGGTAGTCCAATAAACATTGTGGACTCTTAGCAAGACTGGTGCCTGGTATTTCAAGGCTGTGGTGAATGCTGCCAATGTCCTCCTCCTGGCCTAACTAAGGCTCCCCATCAAGCTGAAGGGATCGGGGGCAGCCTCTGTCTTGGGATCCTCACAGTGTATACCAGGAAAGCAGCCAGCCTGGGACAGGGGCAGTGAGGTCCCGAGGGTGGCTGACCCATACGTCATAGATGCTCTTATTGGGTGGCACCCCCTGAAAGAGAGAGTCTAGATCCCAAAGCAGCCCTGGGGAAGCCCTGGACTCAGAGGCCATCCTCCAGTAGGCTGGGCTGGTTGAGGGTGGGCATTGGGGACAGGAGGTGGGTGGCAGTGGGGCCAAGGGCATTACCACATTGGGGGTATAAATGGGCAAGTAGGAAGTAGGCAGCTGTCCCCATAAGGAGGCCCTGCATTCTGCACTGGGCAGTCCCCCAGGGTCTGGAGTACCTTGTAGTACATGGAGGGGCCACGTCGGGGGTTGTGGGGATAGGGGAGAGGGCCCGATGATTGCTCCCTTGGAAGTGTCCCCCTCCACTGTTGTGGGCCCCTGGAAGGGACCCAGGGGCCACAGAGGCCTCTCAGAGGAAGGAAGTGGTGGTGTGGGCACCACCTCCTCGCCCCTGCACCCCAAGCCCGCCTGATCTGGGCTGTTCTGTCTAGCCAGGTTAGGAAGTTGGGGCCAGGGTGCCTCCTCTTGAGGGTGCCCTAGCAGGGACTTGATGCTGAAGCCCTCTCTGGGCTGTGGCATAGGACTGGGCGTCCTGTAGGGCCGGCCGTGCAGCACGTAGGGGCTTAGGTCCTTGGCGAAGGCTCTGCGTGTGCCCCGGTTCTGCCAGCGCCGGCACAGAGCGGTGTTCTGCAGGCGCAGCGCCTCGGGTGGAATCAGGCTCACGTCAACTGCCCAGAAGTTGCCCTTGGCTTGGGGCTTCGCAGGATCCTTGGGCACCTGGGGGTAGTGGGCTTGGGTGGGACTGTCCAACACCTATGCTCAGGGCTTCCACAACCTCCCAGTCTCGGGCCCCGGGGCTCCGACCCTCCCCTGCCGCACCTTGTGGAAGCATCGGTTGGAGGAAAGGTTGTGGCGAATAGAGTCCTTCCAGCCTTCGTAGTCATCCCTGAAGAAGGGGAACACGGCCTGGACCTGCCGGATGATCTAAAACCAGGCAGCGGCCGGCGCCATGAGCCAGGTGGGTGGCAACACTCACCCCTCCCCCACAACCTGGCTGCGGGAAGCACCTGGGTTCTCCCCACAAAGAGAAACACTTATGGGAAGCACCTGGGTTCCCCCCACAAGGCGAAACACTTTTGCGCCTGAGGGCAATGTTGGGGATCCTGAGGCCTGAACCTCTCAACTCCCACACTGGTAGAGCTGGGTGTGGCAGGAGGCAGTTGAGGATTCACCAAAGCCTGGAGTGGGTGGGGAAAGGGGCGACCATGGAGTGTGGGGGAATATGGGGATCCTCTCACCTGGGCCAGCTTCAGCCTGCGGGAGGGTGCAGCCTGAATCACCAAGGCGATCATGGCCAAATAGGTGTAGGGGGGCTTGTCATGTCGCAGGTATCTCTTCTTCCTCCTCTTGGGGGGCGACTCTGCCTCCAGCAGCCCAAGGCGGGAGTCGCTGCGGGGTCCCATGTGTGGGGGGCTGCCAGCGTGGTCTAGAGCCCAGCCTAGGGGAGGCTCAGGGCTGCCGGGTAGTGTGGCAAGGTTGGGCCGGGGCCGGAGGCCGGGTCAGGGCCGGCGGGCTGGGCCCTTTATCATTCTTATGGAAGGGGGAGGGGAGGGAGGAAGAGGCTGTGGGGGGAGGGGAGCTTGCAAAGGCTGCCACAATTAGCAGGTTTCAGTTAATCTGAAAGGGAGGGGCAGAGAGGATTCCAGTGGGGACTTCTGGTGACCTCCTGAAGCTACATCCCATTCCTGGCTGTCTTTGGGTGCTGGCATCTATGAGCTAGAAGGAAAAGCCTCAAGAGCCTGTGACCCAGGATTACTTTGCCTGGGTCAGGGCTCAAGCTCCCACCTAAAAGATGGGGAGTAACTTGCCCTTGCCAAGCTGCTGAGAAGGGCATCCTGAGTCCTAGGGGCTGGATGTGATCAGAAAGTCTCCCGGAGGGAAATGCCACCCCAGGAGCAAAAGGGAGATACAGGGGCTTCAAGTGATTTTCCCAAGAGCATGCTACAGGAGCCAAGGTGGGCACTTCTTCTCGCAGGCCATCTTATCTGGTTGTACCTGTGGGATCAGTCAGGATATGTGCTGTGTACCTGCCCAAAGCCAAGGTTCTTGTCACACTGGGCAAGTTTGCTCAATAGAGTATCTGGGGCAGAGCACCAGCAGAGGTGTTTCATGCTGGTAGCACAGAACCATACCCCCAGACCTCAAGGAGCCCTTTCCTAGCACTCTGAACACTTTATTCTGAGAATTGAGATTTTTCTTGTGCAGCCCTTACCTTTTTTTCCCCATAAAGGGTTGAAAACTTGCTGTATACAATGGGTGTCCAGTACCTGGAGTGGCTCAGGGAAGAGATGCGCCCTTCATACATTGGAGGGGGGAGCCTGGGGCCAAAATGGAGGGCGAGTGTGGTGTACCACTGCACCTGCCCACCCAACCTTGGCTGGGTTGGACCTCTTCCCAACGATCTTAAACTCTCGAAGACCTCATCTGGCTTCCTCTGTCACTTACTCACCGGGCCATCTCCTCCTTTCCTTTTCAGAACTTTACCTGAAGGGTCCTTGTGTCTCACACGAGGCTAAAATCTATGGTCTTTTAGCCTCACTCAGAGCGCATCATTCTCTTCTCCTAGGCGCCCCTACTGGTTCTGCCCAGCTCCTGGCGTTCACGCCGCCGCCTCCTCCTCCTCCTCCTCCTAGGAGCTGATCCCTTCTACATTCACAGCCTGTTTGGCTGCCCCTACCCAGCAGCTTTCCGTTCCACCGGTGCAGTTTGAGCCCTTCTGCCACTGTCTCTGCCCACCCAAGGCGCCTCTGCTTTGAGCAATGGACTCCTCCTACCCTTCTTTCAGAACCCATAATACAGACAGGTGACTACCATTCCAAGAGCGTTTGACGACTTGCCCTTCTCATCCCTCCCCAACCCAGAGTAAGGCCTGTGCTGCAGAGCTGCACACACAACACAATCGCGCAGCCTCCAGACTTTCCTGGGGTAGGCCCCGCCCTTGGCGACAGCTCCTCTGGCCCGGCTTCTGGCTCCCACGGGTCACTGCGGCTTCCGCTACGGCCCGGAAGTGTCGCGTTGCCATGGCAATGCTCCTCGCGGGGCCCGCCCCCGCGGTGCCTACAGAAGCAAGGAGTAGACTGACCAGCCTGGGGGCCGACCAAGCGAGGGACCGGATACAGCGCCTGGCCTGCGAGTCTGCAGGTGAGGCG